AATTACGAACTAAAAAAAGAAATTAAATGAGATCAAAACATAGAATTTTGTTCGGTGGGTTTATGGTGACTGTGTAAGAGCAGATAAAGCTGAAAGCGGTGGGGCCCAAATTATACATGAACGATCAGCACTTGTTGTTGCAAATGATATTTCATTTGGATGCCTAGAATATTTTCAAAATTACGCATGAAAATAAAACAAATTTAATATACCATCGAGCTTGAATAATCTTATCCGTATGTGCAGCAACATTAGATAAAACCAATGGTTTTGTAAGATCACCTTAATTAAAAGAAAATAAATTTCGATTATTCTTTCATTTGTTCTTACCACTTAAACTTGTCATAACAACTTTTTTGTCATAGGAAGCTGTAAGTAAATAATATGAATTTACAGAAAAACGAACACTTCGAACTTCATTCGAATGTGGTTGATATGCTTGTACAACACGTTTTCCACGAAGATCATAAAGTAAACATGATGCATCTTCATAACCAGCTGCTAATAATTGACCAGAACAATCAACAGTTACAGCTGCAACAGCACTATCTATAAAATTAAAATTTGATTAATATCAAAAGATATTTTAGATTATACTTGAAGGACGAGGTGGAATGACATGAACACATTCTGGTTGACGAATATCCCATAAACGTGATGTACCATCTTGACTTCCGGATACAAAACTACATGCATCCCAAGTAAATAAGGAATAAATATGCCCTAAAAGAAATAATATTAAATTTTAATAAAAACAACAAAATCGATTTGTAAAGGATGCTAATTGTTTTTTTGCTTTTCAGAGATAACGATAACAACAAAGATCTTTTGATTCGTCAATTATATGTCTCCCCTAGATGTCATATAAACCCATCGGATAATATATCAACACTTATAATGCTGTCATTGTCTGCTATTATCATCAATCAATAATAATACTCGAATTTCAGACATAACATCCCTTAAATGTCATTCAATTCGATGGAATAATCCATCTAGATAAAAAAGGACATTTATTTCTATTAAAAATATTTTATTTTTCACTGAATAATTCAATACTCGATAATAAATTCATCACAAGTTACATCTAGTTTGATCAGTAGAGATTTCAATAGGCAACATCATATAGAGAAATTCTTTATTGATACATTTTCAATCCCATAAACTCTAACTAATTAGTACTAGAAATCGATTACAAGTTTCAATCATATTCTATTTACCTTCATGACCACTATAACTTTTAATAGTTGTTTGTTTTTTAACATCCGTAACATAAACTTTACAATCTCCAGCTCCACCACTTAATAAAATTGAATCATCTTTCAAACTATCATGCATGAAAATTACATCTCGTATAGTTCCATTATGATGTGTTAATTCAATTTCTGTATCTAAAAAAAACTATTATTATTATCATCATCAAAAAAAAATTTATTATTATTTACGATTTGTTTCCTCTTCTAATCGATCCATGTTAAGTCGAATGAGTTTAATAAGTTTATCATTTGATCCTGTTGCTATAATTCGACCACTAGGTGACCATGCCATACAATAAATACTACCCAAATGATGTTTGGCTTTTTTAAATAAAACCTTCGCTTGTTTTGGTACAGAGTCTGTTCGAACATTTTTTGTATCTGGATATGCACAAACACGAACCATTTTAGAATTTGAACCAACAGCAAAATATTTTCCAGTTGGATGAATATCAATAGCACGTATAGCTTGAACATCTTCAATAGATGCTATTGGTATAAATGCTGGCGAACGAGCAATATCCTAAATTAACGACATAAATTTTTCTATTTGAATTCAAAAAATCATTTTTATACTTCAAGAGAATCATATTTTGTGACATCAATAATTGCGCGAATCTTTGGATTGGGTGTAGTTGATGCTATAAATATATAAAATTAATTTTTAAATAAAAAATTCTTGAGAAATAAAAACCAGTACTAAGTTGTTTTTGTAATTCATTTCGACGTGTTTCATGTTCATCAAATTGTCGAATAATTTCTGCACGACTTTTTTGATATTCCTGTAAAATATTTATAAATAAAATTCTATCAAAACAAAAATATCAATTTACTTTAAGTAAACCATTCGATGTATCTACTGGAGAAGTATTCATATTACTAAAATAAACATATATGATTTTTGAAATGAATTATAATAATAAACAATTGGTTTACTTTAATGATATTTGAGTATGATTAATTGGTGATAGATTCTCATTTTCTTTTACAATTGAACCATTTGTATGTTTAGATTTCTGACTACTGCTTGATTGACTAGATCTACTGAGTGATTTCGGTGATGTAACGTAATGTTGTGGTGGTTGTCCAATAGTATCATATGATGGTAAATTATTATTTGTAAAGTGTGGTTCTGTAATACTTCGTTTTGGTGATTGTGATCGATGAGTTGATTGTGGTGAAATAATATTTGCTGCAGGTGATAATGTACGTGGTAGTGATGGTGGTGATGGTGTTGATGGTGGTGGTGTTTCTTCATAAAGTACTTCTTCAACAGTTGGTAATATTGTTGCTGTTGCTGATGTATTATGAATATTATTATTTCCATTATCTTTTAAATTACAAATAGCTAATGAACGACTCATATCATTAACAAAACTTCGATTATAATCTCCAAAGATTTGTGAACGAATAAGACCATAAGATAACCCATCATATTGTGGTGCTAATGAACGTGACATTAGCTCAGTTGAACGTGGTTTACCAGTTGGTGTGGCATTAAATGGAAACATTGTTTGTGGTTTAAATGGTGTACTTAAAACATGTTCAGCCCATGTTGCTTCAAGTATTGGTTTTTGAAATTTATCAATATTTAATGTTAATGTTTTTTGTTCAAATGGACATGAAAATGTTTCGGTTGGTAATGCATGAAGCCATGAAAGTAATGAAACATCTGTATCAGATAAACGTGTAATTGCTAATAAAGAATTTGGATCTGTTAAATCAATTGTTTCTTCAGTACTCGTTGCTCGTGCTTGACAATGTTCAACACATGATTCATAGAGTAAACCTTTAATAAGTAATTGAACAAGACGATCACCTTGTGCAATAGGTATTGTTTGTTTTTCTACCTAAAAAAGAATATAGATTAATTACATAGAATTTCGAAAGAAAGCTTACTTGTAAAAATCGATGAATAAGTGGAAATATTTCTTGAAAACATTGTACACGTCCAGCACTTGGATTCCAATTATGATAATCAGTATGATCTTGTAAACGTTTAAGTGTAAGTAAAAATGATAATTTTTTATATTCTTGTTCATTTGGTGCAAATGGTCTTAAATCATTAAGAAATCTATGCAAGAAAAAAAAAATTAATTATTTAATTAAGTAAATTATTTATTTGAACTTACTTAACAATTTGTTCAACAGATAAATCATTTTCAATTTGTGCTTCAGTTTTTAAACATAATAATTCAAGAAATTGATATTTAAGTACAATATATATAAATTGTTTAGCATCAAATGCATCAATTGATTTTAATGGTTGTACAAAATCAATAACATCATCCCATTGACCATCGAGAATCAATTGTCGTAAAAACAGTATATCTTCTGAAAAAGATCCATTGATAATGCCTATAATTAACAAGAAAATAAGCAGATATGTATGTCAAAATATAATGAAATCAGATATGAAACAAGATATAATTGCTTTTTTAAAATATACCTGTTTCACGTTCTATATCAAGCATACTAATATAGAGTTCACGTTGTTGAAAAAAAATCAAGTATAAGTTTAACAACATCACGTTCAAGTAATGCAACATTAACTCGTAATGCACTTGTTCCATTCATTGAAGACATCGTCGGATAATGTAATATACACGACGAGTCACAAAATAAGATCTAAAAATAGCAAATAAACCTACTGTCTGTGTACACTCACACATACAAATATTACAATTTGACGACTAATTCGACGATAGCAACAAGGCAATAAAGAAGAGGAGGGAAGAGAAAAAGGTAGACATCGACATAGACGATAGTTTGTTTGTTCAACTAACGTGAACGAAAGAAGTGAATACGAAGGTAAGATGAGTGACTATAGACGATGAGTTACTTAGCGTATGAAGAAAAGCAATGAATATATAAGGGAAAGAGGATTGATCATAGAGAATAATTTGACCAATTCATTGAACAAAAATATATCATACTCGATGAATAATGTCCTCTATGTTTTATGGTTAGTCGGTATAACATTAGATGTCGCTGTACTTTAACTAAAATTCTTCTTTCATATACGATCTTGATTTCTGTAAATATCAAAACGAAATCGATTGTTCTTGACTTTTAAACTTTATGATATAGTAAATGACGTAATTAATACAAAACACAATAATACATGAGAAAAATATATTTGATGTTCGTTGTTTTTCTGTCTGGGGAAATAATAGTAAGATATATTGGGTATATATTAATAAATAAGTATTATATATAAAACATATGTGTAAATTGTATTTTTTTTCTCTGTTTGACTAATATAAGAATAGAAAATATTGAATGAAATCATCATTGACAATGATATACTAAAAAGTTTATATCATCACAAAGTCCTAAATGTGTCGATGAATGTCTAGGGAAATTTAAAAAGAATTATGAAACTTCCACAAAAAAATGACTTTCTAAACATATTCCATGTAAACCAATACAATCATAATAAATACGATTACCTATTTCGATTTTTAATCAATAGACACGTCTTTTCTATTGAGATAATCCTTGTGCAAGAGATAAAGAAGTCTTGATATATAAAGGTTTTTTCACTTCTTAGTATATTAAAGTGAGTAACTCTTGGTTTTATTAGAAAATAATTTTGTTATATAAAACAAACTTGTGTAAAAAGTTATGAATAAATAAAACTAATGACAAGTATATGAAAAAGTACAAGAACAAAAGTTATCACAACGGTATTTAATTTCACTGAGGACAAAAGAAGAAAAGTTTGTCATTATCATCATTGTTCTAAGGTAAATAACGATAAAGAGTTATATCTTTTGCATCACGTTCTAGGTATTCTTTTTCAATTAATAGTTCAATACATTTCTAGAATAAATAATAAATTTGTTCTATTTTGAAATAAATAAGAAAAATTATACTTTAATCATGAGAATTTTTGGCTGAAATTTTGAAGTTAATTGTGGAATAATTTGTTCTATTAATGAATTATAATCTAATTGTTTTCGAGCTTTCATTGTTCGAACAATTGCAGCCTACAAAATAGTTAAATAAAATTAATAAAGTAGGTTTTTAATTTATTTACTTGAATAAGAAAGTTTCGTTCTTCTTCAATTTTTTGACCATCGTTTTCAGCATCTTTTTGTTCGACTAATTTTACCGCTTGATTTAAATTAATTTTGACTTTTTTACTAAAGAAAATAAAACAAATAAACTTTACATCTTTAAACTAATGTCAAACCTTTTAAAGCTCTCATCAACTTCAATCATATAATCGTTTTTAATATCACTTTCTTTCAATTCTTCACTGACAGTGATTTTTGAACATTTTAATACTTGACTTTTTAATAAAATCA